CTGTTGCCTCTTGATTGGGCTGCTTCAGAAGTACTTGATGTTTACTGACTGCTGTGTTGAATAATTTATTGAATGATTATTAGACTGGATGTAATAAAGTCAATGTTGATTTACCATTCCCTTAGCATAATGTGGTAAATGATCACTGGGTTTACTGTGTCAAGAGATGCTCAGAATCACAGTTCTCAACTGGAATGCTGACTTGGTAGGAAATTATGTTTTAAATTTATAGTATATTAAGAGGTTTGCTAATTTTTACTCACTTTTGAATGGTTTGAGTTATTTGGGAAAAGTGCTATCAACAGCTGGAAAATAGTACAGTGAATAATTTATTTGACAATAGCAAAAAAAAAGTCAAATAAATAATTCAGCAAATATTTCTCAACCAGCACTACCGATGTCAAGCTCCAGAGGGATGGATCAATTTTTTTAAAATACCTTTATTACATGATTAGCAGACTCATTTTTGGGTGATTTTTCTTGCTGGTTGGTTCACTTCTTACACTGATTCCTGAAGAAAAATGACTTTTCAGCCTACCCATCACTGAATTTTTAATAGTAAGATGACAATGAATGAAATTAAATTTTAATGTACTGCTGTATGTATCACCTTATCTTGATCTATCAATGGTGATTAATGATCTCTGCTGTAACAGTGTGATAGGTTCTACAGATATTGGCTTTTTAGAATGCCCTCTCTGACCTTGGGGACGTCCAAGCCCCAAAACTCACTTTCCTGTCTTAAACATTCCTTTTTATTATTTGTTTGGGTTGGAAGCAGGGGCTGAAGAGTAGAGCATGGATACAGTAGTTCCCTGACAACATGTGGTGCAGGTATTGCACCACATTGTTTGGGTTTGGTTTAATGAAGTTCAAACTTTTCAGGGAAACTCAGACATTTTATTTTCAGAAGCAAAGGAGGGGTGGGAATCCTGCTAGCCTTGCCAGCCAGATTCACACCCACTCCATGGATTTGGGAGATCAGGCATTGGATATGTTGAGCTCACACTCTGGAGCTGAGCCAGCTCCTCTGCTGGTGAAAGGCAATATCGTGCTGTTATGCTTGTTTAAGCCTGTTATGTTTAATGTCAATTCTTGCAATATTTGATTTTTTTTAACCTTAAATCCTGGTCGTAGGAATAAAACAGTCCACAGAAATTCTGCTGTTGTTATCCTCTACGGAGGCTTTTTTTGCAAAACAGTTGAAAAAAATTAATTGATGGCACTCTGGCTCAGAAACCAGAAGGAAAAGTCAATTGGGTACATTAAAATAAAGAATGTCTCTTTGCCTGTAAGATTATTTTGAGGGCTTTTAGCTTATGGTTATGGTATATGTGAGACTGGTAAAAGAACAACCCAGAGATACAAAGCTCCCAAAACATCCACAGTGGAATGTTTTCCTTAGCCTTGTCTTCCTGTATGGTCTCAAAGGGTTCAGATCTTGCCCAGTGGAAGCCAAAATGTTTGTGTGCTTTGTTTTAGAGTAGAGCTGCACAGGAAACCTAAAGGCAGCACGTTTTGATTGCTGCACTTACAGAAAAAATGCTCAAGAAAAAAAATAAATAAACACATAAAAAAGAGATTAAATGTGGATGTGAAGTTTTACATCCCTCTTGCAGGGGAATTTTTAAATCACCACTGGCTGAACTGGGAGAAGTCATCAACACTTCCAAAGCAATGGCTTATTGTGTGGTAACGAGCACCAAAGAAAAGCCCAAATCAATCAGCCCACCACAGCACACAGTGTTCTTTCTCATTCCGTGCTTTTTATGCCTCAGGTGTCAGCATTATGGTCTCCTTGTCAAGGATCCCACATTTTTTACTTGCACATCCCATACACGTAATTTTTAGGATGCTCTCAAACATGCCAAGCAGAAGTAGTTTATTGCATTGCAAGTACCTGTTTATTCAGAGGAGATGTGATCTCTGTCTCTCTGGTAAATGTGGAGAGGAATGCAAATGTTCCCCCCTGCCACAACAGTTTGACTCTCATGTAAAGGCTTCTTAAAACAAACAAAAAACCCCTCAGAAATGAAAGCATTCTCTCTCTGAAATCAGAGTTTTGGATCATTTCAAGGACCAGTGGCTGATTATCCATAGAAATATCTTTTTGTAGCAAGCACCCTTAACTTTAACAGAAAAGCCCCAAATATTTTTATGTGACTGAAGTCCACTGATGAATATTATTTGTTAAAATTTCATCATTTATGCTTTTTAACTGTATTTTCTGAAAGGTGACTTTTTAGCCTATTTCTCTGTAGAAAGATTTCAATTGCTGAATTGGCAAGGAAGGCTGTGAATTTGGGGCACAGGCCCAAGGGACTTGCACATGGGAGGATCGTCCCAGTAAATGATGAGTAAAGTAATTAAACAGAAGTCCCTGACCTGGTGCTGACAGCCAGGGTCTGATCACAGGTCGTGCAATACTTTCACAATTTTTTAATACATCTTAAGTAGCAGTAATGAGATTCTTATTGATTTTTGTGGTGCTTTGTAATTTTGTCTTTTGGAGGTGTTTTAGTATTTCTAAGAGGAACTAGTTCAAATAATTTCTCTCAGAATTGCATTTGGTAGCAAAGTGGAGGTTTTCTGCTACAAGAAGTGCTTCATTAAAATACCTGCTTTGAAGGAGAAACTAAAAGAAAGATTTCTGTGCCTTTGGGGTTCCTGTAGTTGTGCCATATGGGAGCTGTTCATAAATATAAGGACCGTGCTCTACTTCTGTCTCCACATCTTTTCCACTGCCTTTCACTCCCTCCTTTGTTTTAATCTGTGCTGATCACTTCACTCCTTTTCTCCTAATCTCCAGCATACCTGGAAAAGATAGAGTTGCTTGCCTTTTTTGGCAGTTTTGGTTGTTTTGTGGCACTGTGCCCCACAGTCCCCTCACTGCAGTGGTCCCTCACTGCTGCTCCAGGACACATCCTGGGGACAGCACCAGTTCTGCAGAGCTGCTGACTGGGAGGAGCAGCCACCAAGGCAATAATGCAGAAAGGCACCCAGAATAGAACCACAAACCCAGGGCTCATTGTATGAAGATTCAATTAGCTCTTTAAACACAGCAACTGTGATAGAACATACTGTACAAACCAGGCTCGCTGCCAGGTATTTATAGGCAATGCATTGCCCATTCCTGCTCATACAATTAAGGTAACTGAGATTCAATAGCCACAGCTGCATAAAGCAGCTTTCTGATCCTACCTAGGTCAGCATGAAATAAGACTTCATTCAGTGCTAGTTTAGAAATCATGCTCTTTTTTTTTTTTCTT